CCCCCCCCCCCCCCCCCCCCCGGGCCGCGGTACAATTGTCAAGCGTTGACCGGTCCGCAGTGATAAAAAGGTTGGGGACCACTGCTTCAGAGGATCCACCTACTACGATGAAACTTAGCTTTGCATTGATACATTTCCAAAATAATGAACAAAATGGTTGTTGTTTTACAGTTGTTTCACCGTATATTAGGAGGGGACAGTCAGTCTTCTCCAATTCTGTGTTTTCCTGCATATTTCCTGCAGGGGCACATTAAATTCATACTTGTTCTCGTATTCATTTCAGTTAGGTGATACCTTATTAAACACTGTGGGGAAATGCTGTACATCATAATGTTTTCCAAAGTGATTTTCTGTGGCTGTGTCCTTACTCTTTCCATCATGTGTACGCAGTGTGTCCAGCAGGTCTATGGTGGCGCTGCCCAGTAGCTCCTTCCTCAGGGTGTGGCAGCTCCACAACTTCAGATCCAGACGACTCTGAGGCGTCACATTACTGTGAAAGACAGAGTAACATGAACATACCTACTATCAACTGAGGCCTGTTACCACACAAATAGAAGAAGAAGACCCTGTCCAGGATTAACCCACGCAAGGCAGATGGACCAGATAACATACCTAGTCATGTTTTAAAGGACTGTGCCGAGGAGCTCAAGGATGTCCTCATGGACATCTTTAACATCTCCCTGAGCCAAGTAGTTGTTCCCACGTGTTGCAATGTCACCACAATAATTCCAATTCCAAAGAAGCCCCACCCAACCAGTTACACTGACTATCGGCCTGTGGCACTGACTTTAATTATTATGAAGTGCTTCAAGCAGCTGGTCATGTAGAACGTCAGGTCCATCCTCCCTCCCTCTCATAACCCATTTCAGTTTTCATACAGGTCAGACAGGTTCACAGAGGATGCCACTTCTGCTGTTCTCCATCCAGCCCTCACCCACCTAGATTCAAAGAACTCTTACGTGTGAATGCTGTTCCTAGACTTCAGTTCAGCATTCAACACAATCATCCCCCAGCAGCTTATACAAAAACTTGGACACTTGGGACTCAAAACCTCTCTCTGCAACTGGGTGCTGGACTTTCTAACAGGGAGGCCACAAAATGTGCAGGTCGGCAGCAACACCTCCAAGATCATCACACTGAGCACAGGGGCTCCACAGGGGTGTGTGCTCAGCCCAAATGCTCTTCACACTGCTGACCCACGACTGTGTACCAACCTACAGCACCAACCACATTGTCAAGTTTGTGGATGACACGACTATCGTTGGCCTCATTACCAACAATGATGAGGCCAACTACAGGAGTGAGGTGTGCCAGCTGGTCCAGTGGTGGAAGGACAACAACCTCTTTCTCAATGTGGGGAAGACTAAAGAGATTGTTGTGGACTTCAGGAGAAAACCTCTAAAGCATCCACCACTGACCATCGACGAGAGAGTGAGCATTACCAAGTTCCTGGGGGTGCACATCTCTGAGGACCTCTCCTGGACCAAAAACACCACACCACTGGCCAAGAAAGCTCAAACATGCCTTTACTTCCTCCACACACTGAGGAGAGCCAGTGCCCCACCGCCATCATGTGCTCCTTCTACCAGTCAGTCTTGAAAACTAAATTGTTCTGTACTGAACTGTAGTGTAACACTGTTCCCATAACATGTACCTTTCTAATGAAAACCTATGACTGACATTTAGCGGACACACACTCATTTCCCATTCAGCAAATTCAAAAGGAAGTATTTCCTTCCTATTTGTTCCCTCACTGTCCATTTGTCCAATCCCTTCCTCTTTTCCTAAACCCAGTCAGCCCTTCCTCTTAGTCCTTCATTCTTCACGTCCTCCCCCACATTAACAACCTCTGCTGTTTTGCACAAACCTTTTTGTTATATTATATGTAAATCTGCTGCTAACTGTTTTTTACCATCATATCTGCTGCTGGTGGTCATTTGCACTACTGTCCAACACCAACACCCTGCTGATGCTGACCTGGTGATGACAATCTTTCTGTTATTGCACAAATGGCATGGCACTCAATACTAGGTGAGAGAGAAACAGTATTTTGATTTTCTGTATGTCCTGCACATATGATGAATTGACAATAAAAATCTTTGAACCTTTGAATGTTTGGAGTTCTGTGTGGAATGGATCAGATTTGGCTTTTTTCTGCTTTTTTTGTGTTGTTCCAATGCAAACAAAAGCAATAAACATGAGAATACCAAAGAATTTGTGATTGTAACAGTTTTCTGGGAGATGTGGTGCGTTATCTGACAGAAAAACAGGGGTGCCAATATTTTTGGCCATGACTGTATCTACTGCGACTGTAACTGTAACCCTAACCCAACTGTAACACTTCTGCAGACTCCTCACACCCTGGACACAATCTGTTTGAACTCCTCCCCTCTGGACGGCGTTACAGGTCACTGTGCACCAAGACAACCAGGCACAAGGACAGTTTCTTTCCCCAAGCCATCACTCTGATGAACACTTGACCCACAACAGTATGACTGGACAATAACCCTCAGTGCAACACCTGTAAATTTACATTGTACAGATTATACAGATCTGTACAGGTCTCTGTTTTTAAGTACTCCATTTTTATTCTTATTTTTACCTTGTTTCCTAATGAACGTTCCTTTGTCTGTTTGCATTGTTTATTGCTTTCTTTATACTGTTTATTTTGTTGTACTATACAGCCTTATATTAGTATATTGTTTACTTGCCCTTTGCTATAGACTTACATAAGGATATATACATGCACATTGAAAGCCGCTGTACCAGAGTCAAATTCCTTGTGTCCAACGCACCTGGCCAATAAAGCTGATTCTAACTATGTCTGTGTGTTTCTTTAGTTTTACCTCAGAAAAGGTTTTAAATGAGCTGCATTTTACTTGAAATACACTAGAATTTTGCAGCTGAACTTTAGTGGCATGATAGCTGGGATATAGTGTGGTATATTCTGGTATTTGGAAGGCTTTATTATTCATATCACTAACCACACAACAGTGTAGGATGCATACAATGGTTTTTATGTTCTATATAACTGTTTACACAGTCTGCAAACAATAAAATGCAGTGCATAAAGGTCAGTGTGGGTAATGGTGTTCTCACAGGGTGAGGTCTTCATTCCACTGCAGCTCCAGGTGTCCACTGCGTTTGCCAGTTTTTTTGGTTTCACTGGTCAGGCCGTCTGCAGTCACCTCAACAAAGGAGCTGAGCCGAGAGTGACGGTTTGGCAGCTTGGGAGACTGAGGCTTTGCTGAAACCACTGTGCATGCATGCAGGCAAACACACACACACACACACACACACACACACACACACATAATAAAATGCATTAGAATTTGCAGGGAGTGCAAAAAGTGTTTTTGTAACACTGTTTACCTGGCACAAACGTTAAAATCAAAGTTCCATTTGCACTTGGAAGACAATATAACTCTGAATACATTAGGATAAAAAGTATGTGACTGTGGCCATAGTCCAACCACAATAAGGAAACTATTCTATTGTGTATAAATGTGAAAGGTTTACCTTTCATGCCACCTCACCAACACTGTCTTGTAAAGAGCACTGTCCACCTCTGTGCCTTTTGCAAGCAGAAGGCATTTAATTACAGTATTTAACAGAGGAAAGAAACCAGATCCATAAGTCAATAAGATTCAGATACAGAACAAACTGTGATGATCAGAGAACTCACAGCTGTTTCTACAGTCAGAATGTAAACTTTAAGTTTAAGTGAGTTTTAAGTATGTTGTATGGTTGTCGGACACAACTGTGTCTAGGTGGTAGGTCAAGCAAAGAGACAAATATAAACATTGCCCTCTGGTGGAAGAAAGAAATCTGCAATGCCACTTCCATTTATTTTTATGGTACTCAGGTCCAGGAAAATAATTATTGGTACACTAGGAAGCTTCCCTCTTAAAGAAAACAACAGTAACAAGGACAATGCTTACTTTTTAAGAATCTTTGATACCTGCATTAATGGGCTTCCACAGCCTAAAAATGCTACTGCTTTCCAGTTTATTTATGCTGTGATTCAGTTACTTCACCAGTTAGACCTTCATAACACAAGTCATGCATTTGCTAAGTTACAGCGTAGTCAAGGACAACAGGTGAACTTCATGAAACTTCTACATACTCTCTGGCTTCTTGATGAATCTTTCTAACCTTCCAAAATATTTTACCAAATCTCAGCATTACTGGGAGCTCTGGAAGTAGGGTAAAAGTCTAAAGTCACTTTGAATTGCTGTAGGCCTGCTGAGAATCTTGTTACAGCATGTGTCAGTGATATGAAACCTTATTTATTCATCCTGAATTGCTGGTGGATAGCAAAAGAAAGGCCACAGAGCCTGGCAGGGACGCTCAGGTAGTATCTGATTTAATGTTTACAGTGAAAAAGACTTCTGACTGTGCTTCTTGCTAGTGCAGATGAGATAGTAGCTGTGACACATCTAAACCCCTTTGGAGATGAAAACAAAGTGACACACAAAGGTGGAGGACTGCCAGAAATGATAGAATCAAAAGTAAGCTTAGCCCGAGTGAAAGGAGATGGGAGGGCTGGGGAAACAGTAGGCAGTGTTAAGAGCAGATCAGTGTTGAGGCCACAGGGTAGGTGAGTCACAGCTCAAAGGTTTGGGACCAAACTGTGCTTGAATAAAACAAGAATGTAGCATAGAAGAGAAAAGAAAGGAAGACACATTGATCACTTTGTACATTTTGGCCTGCCTACAGGAGAATATAAGGCTTATGTAAGACAGACAAAATAAAATCATCAATGTACCCATAAAAAAACTTTACTTAAGTATACAATGACTTGAGCCACCAACAATATAATCAGTTATGAACTTATGGTTTCTGCTTTGTCTCATCTATGAGCCACCTAAGCTGTAAGATGTAATGATAGTGAATCCACATGAGTACACTGTACATAACTGAATATCTTACCTGACACAGTCTAATGGCTTTGCCATTTTATAAATTCCATGAACATGTGTTACATATTCTTTCTGAACAAGTTCTGAACAGTATGCCATCTGTATAAACAGCTGGAGAACACTTATAAAAATGGCCTTCTGACCATCAATAATGAGTGCAAAACTGACAAGAGCCATATCGACGGTGTTGTCAGGTTGACCCACTGTTTTCAAAAATGAAGTAGCTAAAGAAAAGGAGAAAAGATGTTTCATAAGTTGGTGCATCAAATGCAGATGTAGCATATAGAAAGATGCTGTCGCATGTACAGACACAACCAGAAGAGTCAACTGAAGAGAATTTCTGAGATCAAACACATGCAAATGTTTGCAATGCAGTTTAGGAAACTCCACCTGTTTTGTCTTCATTTTGGAAGGACATGCCATGATATTATTTGTATCAGTATACTTCAATAAGTCAAAGGAATGACCAGAAAATTAATTACCTTTTAAGATCAACTGAGATTTTTCAGTGGTCTGGACACTACCAGGTCTGCTCACACTGGCAGCTGCCATGACATCACAGCTCTGAAACACAAACACAATACAAGACATGCTGCCACTGCATTATACCATTCAAATAACCTTATAAAAACAAACGGAAAAAAAACTCACAAAACAAAATATATTAAAGGCATATTTAGCAACCTGCCCAAATGTATTTCAATAGCAGAGAGATTTGTTCTTAACGGTACACATAAAAAAGACCCTAACCCTAACCCTTAAACTGGAGTGTAGTGAGGATCCCCATCATTTTATCAATGTAGAGTTCCTTGCTGCAGCACCAAGGTGACTGCTGTTGGAATCTCAGCCTGAGACCAACCAAAACCCGGTGGTGCATGACAAGCTGTGACCTGGTCATAATCAAAGTGATCGATTAGGTGTGGTATAAACCAAATTGCCATATTAGATCTGTCTCCAATCTGCAGACAAAGATATTAAATTCATCACAACAAAAGCGCACAGCAACCTTGCGAATAACACTGACCGGCTACGCAGCGACAGCGACATCAGCTACACAGTGGATGATGGAAAAACTTCTTGTATACTACCAAATATATAACTGCTAAACACATTTAATTACCCCTGTGTTTAAAACACCATTGGCTGCTACGCACAAAACACAAACAAGGAAGATGATCAAGACATTTGTATCCATCATGTCCGGTAAAAGAAAACGTTGACACTTCCGGTCACCTTTCCAGACTAAAACTCCACCAGCAAACATGGATATGTTGCAACGTGTTACAACTAATACACTGCACAGAAAAAACACTCACTAAATATAGAGCAGTATTTACCGAAACCATAAGATAACGTAGCTCTCCACGATGTTCAATACCATACTTGTTTTCCCCAGTGTGTTTTGAAGGTGAGACTGCTATATGTCCGGTCCGAAGTGGCTAAGTTTGGATGCCTTGATCTGGAATAAAGCTAACTGTTAGCGAGTAAGCTTCGGAGGCAGGCGGGTTTATAAAAGGACATGCCGATAAAAACCTATCCTAATCACCAGAAAAGAACTAAAGCTTCACCGATAGTTTCATGGTTCACGCTATAACGATTGACATACAGCTAATTAGGTTTAAATGTATTCTTTCCAATACCTTTTTCAGCGGTGCTCCGCTGCTGTAGCTAGTGAACTTTCATTTCCGTGTCAGTGACAATACCACGTGACCCTGCACAGCGTACATTTACCCAAAGGATTGTGGGTCACAAGTAATGGCAATCACAAAACATCATTACTATATATTTTATTTACTTTGAACTAAAGTTAAGCATCAGTAAATAACATATGCAGTAAACATGATTGCAGAATTATTAAGCAAATATTAAAAGAAAGAATTAAATAGACGGAGCAGGCCTAGGTATCAAAACTATCAAGTTCCAGGAATTATAAGGATAATATGAGAAAACTACTTCAGTAAAGATGTAAAGATATTAACAAATTCAAAGTTTCTGGATGAAACAAAATGGAATGTTGCAAAATACAAACAATGCCTCTTTTGTTTCATAGTAATGTAGACAATAAGCTACAAGCTCTTTTTTTATCAAAATGAACTGTCTTCTGCTCCAGACTAATAACATTGGTCTCAAATGTGCGGCCAACTGTGGCCAGTGTGAAGTACCAAACTTCTCCTCGAGTCCAGATAGTGAAAAGAATTTCAGTCACACACCAAATATCAATGTGCACATATTACCTTTATTTGCAGATGCATTGGGAGATCATAGCCAGCAGCAGAGCAAAATGATCTGAAGTGAAATTACCACAACTGTGTAATATATACTATTCTTCCCTCCTCCTTACACATGCCTGCTCATGCTGATCATGCAGCTGAAACCAATTGATACTAGCCAAACTTCTTTCTCATAATACACAGCTGTACCTCCCTGAAACCAAAGTTACATTCTTGTGATAAGAAAAGCACACACACAATGATTTAATGAGCATTCTGTGA